CTCATTAAGCTATTATATAGATGATTTTTAAAGTACCAGGTAAAGCAGGACTCCAACCTGGGTGGGCTTATAGAACTGACTACAGCATAAGGAGTTAAATGAGAACAGAATTCAGCCTTCAGTCATCTTCACTTCCTGAAGCAAGATGTCGGACACAAGAAGCTTGGGAGACACTGTTTCTTCAATATTTGGTTTTCATGAGTTTTTAAATTGAGGAAAAGAAAAAAAAAAACCCACAAAGAAATCTCCAAACTCACTGGTCTTTGTCCAGCACACAGAAAGAGTCCAGAAAGGGAAAGTTGGCAGCTATACTTTCGAAGTCTTCCTGAGAAATATAGCCATCGTGGTCATGATCGTAGTTCCTAAAGACAGACTGGGAAAAACAAAAAGAAATTATTGTCATAATATCTATAGCCTATCCCGAATCTATACCAGCTCTTCAACCTTATAATTATATGTAACTTAATGTTCAATATTACTAATCAGATGCTCTGTTGCCTTGTTTTATTCCTTTTATTCCTACTTGGTACTTCAATATGCATATTTATTGGACTGTAGGGGAAAAAATGACTAATTTTTAAAGAAAACTTGACCTCAGTATTTATCTAGTGATGGTCCTCCACACTTCTTCAGACGTAATTATTCTTGCTTTATTTTCCTTCTTTATTAGAAGTATCACTAAAGTTCTGCCCCATGTGAAATATTCCCTGTGCTTCATTAAGTATGCTTTTTAATCACAAAAAAAAAAAAAGAAATAAACCAAAACCAACCCAACAGCAGCTTTCCCATGAGTATTTCAGATGGTTTTGGCTTCACTTCTCTTTTGGTTGGTCGCCTCTGCTCTGCCACAGTACTATTTCAATCCGGTTTGTTTACTAATACTTTGACATCCAGATCACGAGCACTTCGTATCTAACAAACATTCCCTCCCATCAACCCACCCCAGCTCACCACTAAGTAAAACCAGACATGGCTTCAATTTTAAAAGGTCGCATAAAGTGACAGAAGCCCTCCTTAGCTGATAAAGAATTACTATATTCTGCTGATAAAGAATTACTATGTCTTACTGCTTGCAGAGAAGTGCAAGGGGTGTTAACGCTACATGTGATGCTGATGGGAAAAACATGAGCGTCAAAGTCAACATGACTACCTGAAAGACACATATTGAAGCACAAACTCTTACATTAGATTAAGATTTGGTTTACAAAGACGAGAATTTAATATACTGAGACCTCTGAAAGGTGTTTTCTTTGTCCTTATTTTAATGAGAACGTGATGAAACCAATTTCCAAACACCTATCAAATGACCTGCAATCGGTGACTGGCAGACCTCAAAAATACATCATCAAGAAGGAACCAATACGCAAGTCCAAGTAGTATTCAACACTTTTAGTAATAAAAGCAATGCCTTAAAGCACAACTCAAAGAAGGTAGTAAATGACAAAGACTGGCAAAACGAAGACAGCTGTACAGAGTGGTGTGGGCCTCTTGGTAAGCTGTACCTGTAACAGCCCCAAACCATGCTTTAATCCTGTCAAATTCAAGATCATACATCCTGAAGCAGGCCAAAATTGTGGAATGGGGGACTGCATCTCCCCCACCCACAGAAACAAGAACAACCCCCCACCCCCCAGCACATCCTGGAAAGATTAATGAGTTGCAACAGACTTCCTATTTAAACAAGCTATCAAACAGGGGTTTGGATGTGGAGTGATTATTATCAACACATATGGCACTGACAAAAGCATTACAGGAACAGCATGTGCAGTTCTGGCATCCCACATTAAGAGAAAAATGAACCTTTTTTAAAAAAAAAGCATACACAAAAAGTAAACCACGAGATATATTTGAAGTCTGAGTGAGAGAACTGAAGACTTTGTTTAAGTTATCTTAACAACATAACCCCAATTAATGACCTGTAATACAGACAACGTCAGAATTTAATAGTTCCCCGCAGACTTAGTTATTAATTTGTAAAAAGCAGAAGGAAATCTTGCTTCATTATGTACAACACATTCCTGGTTCCTCTCCATGCTGCTTACATCACTAAAAGTCCCTTACATGCCAACGCAACCCGGCTCGGTCTCTCCAAAGGAACCTGGTAGTGTTTGGTTTTGTTTGCATTACCTAACACATCACTTTCCAGACTGAAGGTGGAAGATCCCAGCTATAATTCTCCATGACCTCATGCCCACGTTTTTAAAGCGATACCAAGACAGTGCTTTCTTTACCATACATAGTATGCTCCGGACAGTCAAACGACAGCAAGTTGAAAACCAGAAATAGGGTTTCTGGAAACCTTCGCTGGACCTAGTAATGTGTGAGTCTTTGCTTCTAAGTATTTTTGTTTCCAGCTGTCTGTTACCAGACATAAACTGGGTCACCAGAGACGTGAAAACTCAACTTTGCCCTCTGAATTTTTATTTGTTAATCAAACCTATTGAACAGCAGCCAGAGTCCTGAAAGTTTGCTCCTTTGTATTGAGAAACCTGCTTAGTAATCCCATCACTGATTGCAGGAATAAAATAAATATTTCTGAAAGTATCAGTAAAGACTCAAATTTGTTATCTGACATCTGAAATTCACCCCAGCCATAACAATCGCTTGCGAATCTTGAAATTAATATTAAAGATGACAGTATCAAAGCTACCATTCTCTTTGACCAGCATGTTCTTCCAAATACTTACATCCACTAGCTTTCGTATGTGTTTGTTAATGACGGTAGGGTCGGGTTTTGGTACCACTCCAGATGCCCAGTCCAGTGGCACTACTGGCTTGTTAGGGGTTGTCGGGGAGGTAGGCTGCTGAGAAATGGATCAGAACACAAAGATTTTAAAAGCTGAATTATGAAGTTGAATTTCCTGCTAAAAGCAGTTCTATATGTCAGAGCTACAACCACAAACTACTGGAGACCCTGTGCTGTAAAAACACACTTAGTAAAATATCAGGCAAGGTTTTAAAGGGTTGCTTGCCTCTGCTGACAGCTTCAGTTGGGCTCTCCATGGCACCTCGCAGCTACACCGGCAGCGACAGTGCCCAGCAAGCTCAGAAGCAAAACCAGGCAGACTTTCCTCACTTATGTCTCCAGAGGGTTCAACAGCAACAAGATCCAAAGGAAGGGGGAAGGAAGGAGGGTCTCTGGACCCGGTGGGCATCAGAAATAGGCAAGCAGAAACCTGCTTTTCCCCTTCCTGGTGTTGCCCGGAGGAACTCGCCATCCTGACGAAGCCTGGCCCCAGCACCTTGCTGGAGGCACCGTGCCCCGGAGCCATGCGAGGGACTGTGGTGGCCTGGGTAGGTTAATGCTCCTGCGCTGCGCGGCACCAAGCAGAGGGTAGGATGCAGAAGAGGGGGCAGAATCATGCTCAGCCATCCCACCGGTTTCCAGCCAAGATGTGCTATGATGATGTGGCAGAGAAATGCCAATGTCGTAGTGGAACAAGACCGAAATATTTCCGGGCAGGGACAGGAGAAAATTTACAGCAGACCAGCTTAATTCATCTAGGCAACCTGAGCGGAAAGGGGCTAACCCTTGACTTGCTCTCTAGACAACACCAGCCATATTATTTTATTTTGAAAACAGCTTGATCCTGACAAAATGGTAGCTGACAGCTCACTTGATGCACAGAGCACACAGCCCGACTCCCTCCACACCACCACGGTGCTTTGGGAGAAGCTCTGGCATGCAGCTCAGCTTCTTCAAGTAGAACATATAGAACAAGCCTGAAGAGAGTTTCAGGTAAGGCTTCAAAAACCACCAGGCAGAATGAAAAATGCTGCAAGGCGTACCGGCCTTCTCCTGCATCTGCCACTGGACAGCGGGCATGTGAAGCAGTGGGAAGCAGAAAAATTTCAGCATGGTTTGGATCAGAATGCCCCTGCATGAGCTGATGAGTAAGAAATCTGGGTCCCATCTGTCTCCCCATGAACTGGTGTGAGTTGAGAGGGAGATCATTAAGCCATCTAAAAATGTTACAGTTACTATTGTGTATAACAAAGGTATTGTAGACATTCATATTGAGATGAAAAATGGTCACAAGGTCATAGTTTGGTAGGGAAAAAAGAAGAAGGATGTGTTAGTGGGTTGCTTTATTAATTTGGCTTTTCCTTATTCAATTGTCAGAACATCAGTTCCTCAATGGCTCTTGACTCACCATACAAACCTGCACAGGTAAGTTTAAGGAAGAAAAAAAATCCCTATATCTGCAGAATTCAATTCCAACAGTAAGTACAGTGAACCTGGACATCCAGCTCTATATGCCAGAAGCTCTTACAGAATGTTTTAATCCTAAAATTAATGTCACCACACAGTGATGGACAAACATGCTGGCAAGTGGTTTTGCTCTAAAAATATGCAGAAATGCAGCAATCTTTTAGAGATGACCTGTTACACGATAACATGTAACATGCCAGTATTGTGATATTCTTACAGCTATGGTCAGAGAAGAAATTAGAAATGTGCCTTCCCTTAAAAAAAGCTTAGACTAAAGGGACTCAAAGCATTAGCGTGGTGCTAGACTACCGTGTCCTCAGAGAGGGCTTTTAACTCCTGCTGGTCTGAGCACAAAATGGCAGAAAGAGATGGAATCCACTGGAGCCTTCCTCTTTCTCCTGGGCTATTTCATTTGAAGCCTCGTTCAATTTTTATGATTTTTGACAAGTTGCGATGAAAACTTCATGTTATTGCCCACTGGCCAAGGGGAAATGTCGGTTCCTCCTATTTCACTCATACACTTGTATGAACAACTATAATTTTATTCATGTATTTTAAATGCATGCTATGAGGAAAGGCACTGAGCAGTGTCCAGAGACTACCTAGCTGAATTTATTGAACATTCAGAAATGCTGTATCTGGTCATGCTGTTTGTGATTCAGCCTGTATCTCCTGCCTGTCTCACCAGCACAAGGATAGTGGTATTGTAGACTGGAAAAGCATTTTCAGATGGATGTAAACATCTGTGTCTTTTGGCATTGAAATAAATTCTACTTGAAAGCAAAAAATTTACGTAAGCGTGTCTTCAGTGGCATAACTGCACCAAGCAGAGCTGTCTTCTAGCCAATAGCTGTACCAGTAAAAACTCCCAACAAGATAACTAATGCACAGGGAAAAGCAGGACAGTGTGACAGGGAGCTGCTACCCTACAACTAACTGACCTGTTGATAGCAGGCTCATATGGTAACAGATCAGCTCCACTTTTGCCCTGAAAACAACTGCAGCAGCCTGAGGCACTTCCTCCGCATGCACCTGCACGGGAGTTGTACCCGTACAATAATAAATCACGGAGCAGTTGGAATGATATAACTACACTGTCACGTTGCCTTTGACAAATTTTTCCACATACAAAAGCTCTACAGATTCTTTCCCCTCTGAAATATCTTGTGTGCTTTGGCACTCCATCAAAGAGAAGTATGCCTCAAATGGTCCGGCTTCTGTCGATTCAGCTGTAGCTTTCTACCCATCAGGGTGCTGCAACAGCTCAATGTCACTGGTTATTCATTGATTGTTATGCAGAAGTCTCCCACAATTGCTGGGTGGTGTTAAAGTTCACACAACTGTTTATATCGCTTTCGTCCTTCTTAAAGCTCAGGCTGGAGATCAAAGCAGCAACGTGATAATTTTCTTCATTTACAGTAGTGGCTCGTTAGTCCTTCCACAACACAGAGCTGTAACAAATCAGCTTTGCTGGCAGTCATGGGAGCAAGAGGGAGCCAGGATGACTGCGATAAATGGGAACTGTCGTGGTCAAATCATATCCAGCAAGGATGGGAGACTCTAATGAAATTCCAAGTGTTCAAACTGAATTAGTGTTGACTATGGAAATATTCAATAGCTTCCTTACTATTGCTCATCATCCACCATTGAAAGGACACACACATAGTCCTCAAATTGGTCTCCAAGAGTGATAAACTATCTTAAAACCCAGAGAAGCCCTGTACATGGAAATTAAAGGGTTCTGCTTCTTTTCTTGCTTTTAAGAATACTTCAAAATCATAAAAAGCACCGCAATGAATCACCTCAGACCACTGGACTCTGCTCTCACACCCTGCTAAAGATTCGCAGCCACCCTTAGTTTCTGCTGGTGTCACACTTGAGAGGGCTCAGCCGGAGAGAATCACATGCTGGATAGGATAGGTAATAAGGATGTTTATGCACCAAGGAAAGGCTCAGAGGGAAAAGGAGTCCCCAAACTTTGACAACAGAAGAGAGAGTAATGCTTTAAATGAAATTCAATTATTGATTAGGAGATTATCTGTATCCTCAGACTTGCAAAGCATAACAAAAAAAAAAAAAAAGTAGTAATATCTATTCTGAAGTGTTTAAACGTTGATTGAGAGCCCAAGATATGGCCAATTCTATATAAGCAAACAGTTTTTAAAACACTACAACTAATGCTGTGGCTTAGCTAAAACAAATCTTTGGATTCAGTGTTGGTTTATATAACTGCACCAGCATCCAGAAAATGACATAATGGTCACATAATAAATAATTGATGTAAACTTACAAAGGGTATCTTCACATAAAGCAGAACCATGTTTTCCATAACTTGCAGAGGTTTTGTTGAAAAATAATTCATAATGAAGTCTGACATGTTTCACTATCTACTTCTCCCAATACACACTAAAACTTATAAATAGTGACTATGTTTACTATACAAGCATACACACTGAAAGGCTTTAAGTGAATAGGAATAATGAAACTCATTAACTGTAATTTAAAAATTGAATCAATTGCATGCCTACAAAATAAGCAAGATGTGAAAATGCAGTACAAGATGACCTACCGATTTGGAGTTCCTTGGTTCCAGCACCAGCGAGAGCTTGTAGATATCATCCTCAGTGTGATAGAGGTCCAGGGACAGCTATGTGTAAGAAAGAGAGAAAACCAGCAATGTTTATTAGACTGGGTTGGTTATGACAGTTTTGTAAGCAAAGATACACCTCTCATTGAAGCTAAACGAAAAGTTTTGCTACTCAGGATATACATTGAAGCTGCTTGCAGCTACTGGGAAAGGAGTTTTTCACAGAGCTGACCTAACCCACGCTGGTGAGCATACTGAGCTGCCACAACCCCCATCCCAACACGTCCAGTGAGAGCAGCTGCGTGTTGACCTTCTCCAAAGAGGAATGTTGGTACCAAAGACCACCCTTACGCAAAACACTTTCTTTTAGCAGCTCAATGGTCATGAGAGATTTCAGAGAAATAACCTGGTGAATACAAAAATCCACAGGAAAGAAGCTGCAAAGGGGCTGGGCTAGAAGGACTTCAGATTGTGTTCTGATCAAATTTTGTTCCTGAAGAAGGGTCAGAGTACTGCAGATCTCCTACAGAAATCAGCCCATGCAGCAAAAGCCTCTCTGGAAGGCCCTGGGCACTGACCCAGACCTGGGAGAAGCAAGCCAGGTTTGGCACCACTGGTGATGCAGCAAAGTGGTCCATGAAGAGCAAGCCCAGTTACTTTAGCCCAGCTTCGCCTGTTCCTGATCCCCTCTCACTAGGTAAGGCAAACTCCTTTCCAGCTTCTGTTTTTAGAGAAATCAAAGATTTTTTTCTTCCATGTACTCATTCTTTTCCGTATAGGATTTATTGAGGGAAAAGAAGGGGCACAAACATGCTTAAAGTAAAAAGAATTTATTTGGTTTTTACTTTGGCTGTGGTCTTGTGCAATTCAGGTCTGCAGTCAATTCCTCCTCACTTGGAGTGATGAAGGAGAAAAGTAATCAACACTGTGGCTAATGTTTTGCAATGAGAGGAAACAAACATTGCAGGTTTCCTGTGATCACGTCCCTACACTAATTGGCTTTGGTGTAATTGGCATGATTTGATGTTATCATCTACCTTGCAAATCCCCAGTTAAGCTAAGCTTGAGTTAAAAAGATGTTTCCCAGCAGGCAGATAGATTTGCTACTGAGTAAATGACTGTGACAGAAGGTTATTTTTAGAGAACCCGAAGTGCCGAATTAGTAACAAGCAGGACCAGCGACACTGACAGCGTACCACAGGACCACCTCTAGGAACCACCTTCTTGTCGGTAGAATTTTGTGCAATAAGTAAGGGGGCAGTCACGCCCCTTCCCAAGGTAGGTACACATTCCAGAGTGAACACATGGCTTTAGAGATGTCTGAATTTTGCATGATTCATTTTGTCTAGCTATAACACTATGTTGATTTTTGCGCTTTATAATTTGGTTATGGGCACCAGCGAAAGCCTGAGCATCCTGCAGATTCCTTCAACCAGCCGGCACGCTGCTGTCACAGAGGAATGTAAGGCCCTGTCCTAAAGACAACGCGGATCCAGTAACTGCTGTAACAAATATCATTCATGTACTTAGTTATTCAGTGACTGGAGCAAATCATATTATCAAATCGGGCTGGGACTGACAGCAGAATTGCTCGTTCAAAAGGCCTTGCCCTGTTCCTACTAAAGAGCACAGTTTTCTCAGCAGGCCAGATGAGCAGGGTGTGGATTTGGGGATGGAAACGCATTAGTATTTACTTGGCAAGTTTGTGTCTCCCCGCCCTGAATTATCTGACCTTATCATAAGCAGCAGTTATAACTTCATTAGGCACAATCTGTAAGCACGCAGTGGACAAGGTATTGTCTAGTACAGAAGTTTCAAATACTAGCTGAAAAATTACAAGCATGATGATTATGCAGTTATATAAGCTTTCATTTTATATTTTATTTACAGTTTTGCTCTGACAGATAATCAGAGTTTTCCTAGGACAACCTTTACAGCGGGTGGCAGTTTCCATTCTAATTTGACTTTCATTGTTGTCCTGTTTTTCCAAGCAATTTGAAAGGGGGGCGGGTTGCGGCGGGTGAGGGAGGGATCAGAAAGGATGGCTTTTTTTTGGTAAGTGGAACTTACTGCTGAACACAAGTTGGGGAGGGTGACTTTCAATTTGATTGTTTAGATATTTCTCATTCTCTTCACTAGACTGTACAAATGACAGGGACTTTCCAGGCATTTGCATACAGTCTCAGAACAGGTTAGATAAATAGCTGTTGAGACCTAAAAATAGTGAGGGGAAAAATGGTGGCACCAAATAAGTTCTAACGCAGTTAGTATAAATACACTGTAGACTGGCTGAGAGACTGAGATCCTCTTCCCATCCACAGGCAGTGATGAAACATTTACCCACAGGTTTTTATTATGTTGGGAAATAAAAACAACGTGGAAATACTGCATAGCGGGTAAAAAAATCCCTTAAGCACCCATAGCAAATGTTAGTTTTTCTAATGATGAACATGTCATTAGAGCTATTATTCCTCTCTGGTGCACTGCCATGCTCATGCTAGGTCCCCTTTTACCACTTTTGCTTCCTAGTTGCAGGTTTTGGATGCAGGGACTGGTACAGAACAGGGTCCAGAGTCAGTGGAGATGGAGCGAGTGTGGCCAATAAGGCAGGAGAGGAGGAAGAACCGCACAGACTTCGAGCAAGCATGCATGAAGATGTGAGTCTATTTTCAAGTAACACACTCTGGCTCACTGGCAGCTGAGTCGTGGCACATTTACTTCTCTTGCCCCTCTAACTCAGACTCATTTACACAAGTGAGGACTCGCATCACTAAATCTCGCCCCCAGCTTTTGCAGTCTCCTATGCCAGCAAATCTGGCATTTGTCTCGCTGCCCTCCATACAACAAACCTTTGCCTTATTTGTGGCATTTTAACTTCTGTGCAAAATATCGACTTCTTTCAGCTACTTGCTCAGAGCCAAAGTTCTGTGAACTGGAAGCTGATTTTTTACGTTGACAATAAGATGGAGGGGGGGAACCAGACTTCTAAGTCTGGGAGCAGACACCTAAATCAAGTGAGAGTCCCAACTTTCCAAATTACTGATCATTCTGTAGCTACCACTGAAACTATAGAGATTTTAAGTTCTCTTGTTCCCCCATTCACCCTTTAGATCTATACACACGACAGTATCTGAAAAATGCCCATAAAGACCCATGACCAGGTGGCCTGAAATTTACTACCAAGCTCCTGTCCCAGCTTTTAAGCCAAACTCTCATTTCATGGCTCTTAACACAGTCCCCCCAAAAGTCACCATTTCCAAACCACTTGAAGGGTATCAGCTCCTCCAGGGCAGATAGGGTTCCACCACTGAGGAAAAGAAAGACCAGAGCAAATTCCCACATACCCACTTAGTCCATGAAATACCCATTTAATCTTTTCCTGCAAGTTGTTGGACTAGCAAACCATCACCCGGTGATTTACTTGTCAAGCAAGCACAGGCCAGGCTGTTAGCACTTGCTAAGTGTGGTGTAAAAGGCAATACTGCAAGGGATGGAGGCCGGGCAAGAGATTTACACATTACTTATCAGGACAAAACACCTACTAAAAGCCTGTCTGGATAGAAGGGGCTTAATGGGAAAACAGCAGAAGTGAATAAATAGTTGGGTCGGCTGATTCACATGTAAATGAAAAGCACTCTACATGTTTGTACACATTTACTAGTTTTGAAAGGGAGCTTCTCTTAGTAATTAAAGATGAGAAAAATTTTTGCAGTTTACGTCAGAGAGGGAAGACCTAGCAATAAATAGAATAGTTCTTTCTTCAGGCTCTGAAAACTGAGGATGACTTTGGCAGCAAGGGAGGCTAAATCTGCTAAAAGACCATTTGCACATGGCAAGGTCAACTATTTTTAGTCAGTTCTTGTCAGCTTTGGGCTGCAACCCTAGCTTTCTCCTCCTCTTTCTCTGACCCCAGCCTATAATTTCAAACTTTCTTATTAACAAAAAGATTGACAAAAACGTTTCATTTACTATTTAAGTTCATTATTACTGTTGAAGAGACCACTGTAAAAAAAAAAAAGTACTGTAATGTATTCATATGTACAAATGAGGACAAAACCTATAAGCTGGAAGAAAAGTGAGAATATTCATAATATGAGATGTACCAAAATTCAGGTCCAGGAATCTTTTGCAGAAATTTGTTTTTATTCTTTCCAGGAGTCACCCACCATCTTAAATCAAAACTCCCACACTATCAAACCTACTTGACTCACATCTACACTGCCAGTGACTACTACGAAGACAGAATTACCCTCAAAAGGTTTTAGGATACCCACAGCTGTCTACTTAGGATACCTATGGCTGCCTCCATCCTTACTGAAAGGTACCACCATGGAGTTGTTCCAACAGGTAAAAAGCAGCACAAGTTAATTTTAACCCATGATCAGGTCTGGAATCAACATTGCTGCATGCAGCTTCATTTATTTACAATCAGATTGGTTGAACTGTAACCAAAATCAATATTTATATTAGGAATTAATAGATCAGAGCATAGTGAGCAAAAAAGTACTTGTCATGTACGCAATTACTTTTCTTGGTAAATTAAATATACTGAATGAAACACTATGTACCATTAAATAAAATCCATATAATTTTCCTAAAAAAAAAAACAGAACAAAGAAAATATTTTAAAAGTTGGAAAACAGGTAAAATACATAAACTCAGGTTGATACAATGATGGGAATAAACCTGAAAGGTCTTTGAAAAAAAATTGATGCTTTCTGCTCCCTTTGGAAAACAGGCTGTCACCAAAAGAGGGAAGAACAGCTAATGAAAATGTCAGCAGTGGTTCAGCTTCCATCTCTCACTTCACATTGTCTAATTTCTGCCCTTTTGGGCTTAGTTTCTTATTGCTCAGTTCTCTAAAACCTGAGGTTCCACTTCCCCCTACTCACACCCAAACTTGTAAGAAACTATGAACTTTCAGAAACAAGAAGGGAGGGAAAAAGTGGCATAAGAAAGTGACTCTCAATATCTACTTAAACAAACCAAGGTAATAAATACCTGCCTTTACAGTCTAATATTTTAATTAGGTGGGTGTTGCAGTGGGCAATACATGGTCCCTTCTCCTCCCTGTCCCGCTAACCATGATTAGCACTTGTTCCCAGATTGCTCCATACAAAGTACAATAGGAGAAGGTTTTCCTATTCCCCCAAACTTGCCCATTCCTCATTACAATAAAGCCACAGGTATACCCACACCATCTTGGTTGCTTCAAACTCAGGCTTATATTTGTCAGCCTCTGTAGTGTAAACCCCTATACCTGATCAGTCCCAGCATAAATCCACCACAAACTACAGCCTCTGCTTAATTTCCAGATATGCACATTTTGGAGCATTTTAAAGTAAAGCATGAAAGGAAAAATTCCAACGCTCTTGCCCAATAGCCCTCCAGTTAAGGCATTTACCTAGAACAAGCTAGGTAATGAAAGCCACCTCAAGTCAATGACTTGACTGAGGAAACACTGGAATTTGGTTCTCACCTCCTCAGAGAGCAAATTCTCCAACGCTGATGCTATCCAACAGAATAAACACTAGGAAAATTCTGAAATCTGCCCTAGCTACACACAGACCTTGCTTACTTCTAAGTTTGTTTTTAAAAGAATTCTATCGATTTAAGGAGAACAAAGAGATTCTCTTTCAGACCAGATTAGAGATCTGAAAGACAAAGTTAAATAGCAAGAACAGAAACAGCCTAAAATTATTACATATTAAGAGAGTCCTTTACCTAACGTGACGTATTTCAGACTACTCTCAGATGAGTAGGTGGCTTTTATTTGCTTGCAACATCAGCTGGTTTATAACAAACAATATTCCTTTTTTTTCAAGTTTCACAAGTTCTATCTTTAATTCCAAGACACTGTTTTTTGCCTGTGGTGTTAGGTGAAACACTGCTGCAGTAAGATCAGTGCTAAAATTACTAAATTTCAATAGAAACAGGATTTGGCCTAATGGTTCAGGCTCCACGCTTCAGTATGTTTTGAAATAAAGTGTAGTATTTATTCAAATTACAGTCATTGTCTACATATCAAAAAGGGGAGTGAAAATTAATTCCTTTTAACATTGTCAGTTGCAGCTTTTAAAGAAAAAGTTTAATTCAATCTTTTTGAAATCTCACTTTCCTTTGGTTTGAAATGGGACATTCAAATCCTTATCTATAATTTGTGTGTGAAAGTTTCAAACCACTACAAATGTAGCCACTGCCAAAGGGTAAAGGGAGGGGAAAGAGCAAGGGTTGCAGGGGCTCTTTAACATCACTCAAGGGCATTTTTATTTACTGGATAGGAAGAGTACTGTGTTGCACACAAAGCATAGAGGACAAGAAAAGAGTGACAGCCAAGTTGGAATTTCACTTGTGTGTCCATGTCAACATGTCACCTGATCTTTGCATAGGAGACATAAGCCTCAATTCCAAGTAGTCAGAACTTAGTTTTTATACTTGCTCACACAAATACAGCCCTCTTTCTGCCATCCTTAAAATAATTAATTGATAACAATCTTGTCGCTGTTTCCAGCCGTCACATACCACAGTAATTAAACTCGCTTTGACTTTATTCACACCTCATGTGAACTTGTTTCTGTTTTGTATTCTCTCCCTTTTCTTTTACAAAACTGGGATAACAGTGTGCACTTATGTCTATAGATACAAATATTCCTACTGACATTCAACATCTGAATAACAGAAGTGAATTGAAACACGCTCAATACTTACAGTTAGCAGGTTAATTAAATCCATATTAGGCTCTAAATGATGTGAGGCAGTTTGCAGGGAAACCAGTTCGCTCAAGGTGATGGAAAGCTGTTGCATTTTCACTATGTTAACTTTGTTCTCATCTATCCAGTCAGGAAAAATTACATGGACAGCAATCAAGTCTTTCAAATGAACTCCTAAAATAGGAATTTTGAAGCCAACACAGTCAGCAAAAGCCTTCCGGTAGTTGCAGTAGTTTCCATTGGAAGAGACCAGCTCTGTCATTTCGTTCCAGTCCTACAAATAGCCAGAGAAGCAAGTCTCTGTGAAAGCATTCATAGCATTTCTTTAATCTGTTTTAAATGAGCACAACTCATGTCAAGGTGTTGACAGTGTTAATTTCCTCTCTGGCACAGGTAACGAAGCAGAGGATCTCTGTGAGCTGATCGTTCTCCACTGAGAGGAATGCAACCAAAATGCCATGCCATGATCCAAGTATTGTGCTGGTGAGTCACCTGCACTGCAGAACCCAACAGACCTCAAAGAGGTGATGTTCTGCTCAATATGTCTATATTCTGGAGTCTACCATACCTTTGTGACTTCTGAAGATAGATGAGAATGAGTTTCTTTCAGGCGAGAAATAGAGCTGTGGCTTAGACCTCCCACAACTGCCATCAGTGTGTTGAAGTTCTGGAGGTGAAGGAGCTTCTGCAGGAGAGATTGGTCATGCATAATTAAAAATCAAGGAAATACACGTGGCAGCCATCCAGTGTCACACATGACAAGCTAGAGACAACCTATCACTGCTAAAGCAGAAATCACTAAACCAGGGGACATAACAGAATGGTTCAGCATTCTTTTTTTATTTAGCTTAGCTCCACAAGAAACACACAATAGTGACAACTGTCAACTAGAATACAACAAAGAAAAATTATTTTATAGTTATGTCTGCTGGTTTAAAAATGCAGACAGACCACACCTGAACAAATAACCTGCAGTGATGTTGAACAGGCCATTCACTGAGGAAACAGCACAAAGAGCATCCAGTTCATTTGTTTACTGCAATCTCTATTTATGTTACTGCTTTATACTGGAAGAAAAAGACTGATATGCAAGACATACCTGTGCAACGTTGATAAACTTTGTGATTACTTCTGCCCTTTGCTGGGGTGTTGGTTTGCTGAGAACCATGAGCTGGACCCATTTGGAGATACCATTAAATAAAGCAATAGATCTCTCCAAAGTAGGATTGTCCTCCAAGCAGCCATGGATCACATAGCTTCGGTAGTTTGTGAACTAACAGAGGAAAGGCATTTTCAGTAAAACAGTGGACAACTTAAGAATCAAATTGAAACTTTGATCATTTCTTCTTTTTAAAGCTTCTCTTGTTTAGCAAGTGACCAAGACTCAGGGTCAGCAGACCCCGCTGCACATCAGTTCTTTCTTAAAAGTTTTTGTTGTTGTTTTTGTGGTTGTTTCTTTGTTTGGGTTTTTTTACTTAAATGTTAACTTAAAGCTTTAGTGTTTGTATGCCAGGTAATACAGGAGCCTGCATGATAAGCATGATTACTACTTCCACAAAATTAACTTTCCCATAATTTACTCAACTCTTAAAACATTTTATTCTGTGTAGTTTTGCTTGGCGTTCTCATGGCATGATACTCTATAGGAATTATCTAGTGTAACAAGCAAGAAGCATATAAATAAGAGCTTTCATCCCGCTCCAATATCCTGACCAACTCCATTGTTGATGTAAAGAGGGCAATCTTGGCCCCACTGAAATGAACAGGAGCTCTGTCATTCTTCACAGGAGCTTGAACTGCATCTCATGAAGCTAAATATGCACCTATTGTCTTCCTTCTATGACAAAAAATTCTGTCATACGAAGGAGCTACTTCAGATAAATCTTGCTCCTTTTGATGTTACTGTTCAATCCCTGTGTGTTCATGGACATGGTTCTACATAAGAGAGCTACGGCTCCCAAGAATTAGATTTCCCTAAATGTTTGGAGAACATTTTTGGCTGTCACTTAAAGATAGATTTTCAGAAGCTTATGATGTAACTTTAGTTTGTGTAGGGATTTGCTAGCAATGCCAGCCAACATGGGGTTCTTGGTCTTAACTGGTCAAAAATTGTCTGCTGGAAGACCATACAATGGCATAGACTGTTACACAGCAGGTGCTTGTCTCAGAGATGCAGATAAACAGTATTTCAGTGTTCAGACACTTTTAAACGTTTTCTGTTACAACTGACACCTGACACCGCCTTTCCTTCACCCTCATATTTTTTTTAAATAGTTAAGACCAAAGATAGGATTCAGACTAATAATATTCTACAGTTACATAGCTTTGAGATTACAAGTAGTACAAGATTAACTAACTATAACTGGTTGCAGAGAAATATCTGAGACGGCAAAATTCAAGCTGAAGAATTAACAGACAAATTAGAAGCAACAGGGAAAAAATAAAATTAATTGCAGGGCTGAGTTTTCTTTCTGGAATTCCCAAAGGAATTAAAATATATCTTAAATCTAGTTAGAAATCCACGCCTTTTTTCTTGTCCCTCCCTCCTTCTCTGAGGTTAGCATTGCACAGATCATGGTAAGGTGTTTTCCCATGATTGAAGTCTAGAGTAATAAACCTTTGAACATTCTTAAATGATGCCAAAAGCAATTCTATTTAGACTGGTCTCAGCTCCTCATTGATCTCTTTTTCCTTCCTCTCGTGAAACAAACAAAACAACTCATGTATTTTTCTTGGTTTTGGAGTTTGATTTCTTCAGTGCTCCTAAACACTGTTTAAAAAGTGTCATTTTTTTTTCTGAAGAGAACTTGTCATCTTGAGAACTTACTGCTCCCATTTGCCACCAGATACAGTGGCATCATGCCACCATTTCATATGGCTGTTTGCCAGCAGAAATCAGCCTTACTTTGGCATTTGGGTTACTCATCTGTTTCACTTTAGCTTCTACTTTAATTTTCACCCATTTTTGCCTCTTGCTCATGTACAATCCTGTATAAAAAGCAGCAACTGTATCTGAATTTTCCTCAGTGCCAATATGGGAGAAGGAGGAAAGAGAAGTTGTACAGTCTCTGCTCTTCCAGGTTTTCAAGACCCAACTGGCTAAGTCCCTGAGGAACATGATCTGTCTCAGAGCTGACCCTGCTTTAGGCAGGAGGTTGGCTTAGAGGCCTCCTGAGATCCCTTCCAACCTGAATTATCATCTAATCTAGAAGTGGTTGGGAGTGAACAGAGACTACAGAAGGACTACATATATTTCAGTTTCTTCAAAAACTATTAATTGCAAAGAATGATGTTTCCTGAAAAGTAATTAACTATTTTCCTCAGAGGAAAAAAAAAATAAAATTAACACCTGAAGATTTTGAACAATAATATTAGTTTCATCAATTGCTGCAACACATGGCTGCAGTAGCTTTTAGCAGTAATTTTTGTCCAGAATTTCTCCACAAAATTAACTTCTGTCACTAAAAGCATCAGTCAGGAAAAAGATCGAGGAACTGCTGGTGCAGCCATGGCTATGTACATCACATGAAGAATCATAAAGATTTACTGCACTGAAATGTCAAGGGAAAACCATCATAAATGTTAAACCATGTGACCACTCTCTAAGGACAGGCTCCTAATTGCAAGTGACAAAGTTGTAGGCTTCTTACAGAAATTCTCCTAAAAGATTTATGCTCCAGAAAAGTGAGATGTTCAGCTAGCTCAATGGGCTCCAGATGGTCAAACAGCAGGCAGGCTTTTCCTTTCTTGGAAATCCTCTTCCTCTGTGTAACTCTTCTCATCCAGTCATAGGAAGGACTGCAACAGAAAAATAGGAATAATTCTCAATTATGTTTGGGTATATGTGAGTGTAGCCCACAGTTTTCACACATAGTGTAAAATTACTAAGAGACAGACCATGAGCTTTCTGATCTGTGATATCGAGCACAGAACAAGCACTCGGAGTAAGACCCGTTCAGGTGCAGAAGAGAAGAGAAGAGTTTTGGAGGTGCTACTGCAAATGATAAATAATAGCAGGTCTCCATCAGAACAAAAGGACACCACACTCTTCTCTATGATACCGGAAGTCATAACTAAAAAATGCTTTGGAAATACAAGAAGAACAGGTCACACCAAATTCTGATACAGGGTTAAAAAAAGATTTGAATAACATCAAGGATTAATTTTTACTCTGTAAGACCACAGGTCCATGAAATAACAGAACAACAGAAACAGTCGGTCAAACAGCTAACAAAACTGTAAGAAGTGAGTGGACAAAAAGGCAAATCATTCTAATGGAATAATTCCTACCCACATACAGTAAAAGCACTTCAGAGAGCAGAAGGAGGTTGCTAACAACATTTTAAAATGAAGATTTAAGAGGCAATATTCATGTGATTTCACTGGTACTGTTCTTGCAGGAAGTCTTACAACCTTCATTGAGATTAGTAGTGCCATCCTTCCAGGTTACTATGCCATTTTTAAATAAGGAAAAATCACTAAGCCTGTACCGTATCTTAAAAGAAAATCTACAATATCAGGTGAGACACAGGAGCCCGTCTGGTGATTTTTAAAAGGTAACTTTCATTTCAGCATGTCAAGGAAACAGTAGTGTAATCATTTTGATGCAATAAAACTACAAATGTGAATGCTAAAGATTATCCAATTAAATCATAGAAAAGAAGTACACAGAAAGCCATTAGAAAAAATTAACAGTTTACTGATGAGAGAAGAAAAAAGCTTCTCTGAGAAAATGCAAGATTTACACAATATGCCAGTTACTGCATTGCTTGTCATTCTGTATGAAAAATTATAGGAAAAAAGTAATATTAATCACTTCATTGGCAGTAGCTTTGTCAGGAAAACTATTTCTTTCCAATTTATATTAAAAACTTACATACAAATAAGAATCTTCCCTTTACAGTGACACTACAATTAGAATTTCAAATTTTTAGTAAACTCAAATTTAGAAGACAATATAATGTTTTTGTAACTGCTTTTTTGCTCTCTCAAGATCAAGATGGCCCTTAATATTTTTATATTTTGCACAGAACTAGAATTCTGCTGTTACAGAGATAGAGAGAAAGATGTTGAAGTTCATAATGTCCTTACATGCTGGAGATATCAATGAGATGGATGTGATCCTCATATCCAAGCTGGCTGGCTACTTCTCGAAATTCTTCAGTCAAACGAATCAGCCCAAGATCCAAGTTAAACTCTGCAGGAAATTCCAAAATCCAGTATCTGAAATCCACAGACAGTAGTTAAGAGATGCCCAGGGATTCAGGAGCAATATTCAGTGGCTGCATATATGTATGTACATTTTATTTAATAGGACTTACAAGTATTTCAGACCCACTGGTCTTTGGACAGAGAGGGTGGACTACCTCAGCCTGTTGCTTCTGTAATTATCTGTGACACTCAAGTGGTAAAAGCCACTTTATCATATAATTTCCTTTGGTTTACTCACCACAGCACAACACAGCAGCATTCTATTGAAATGCCAAATTAAAGTGATGCCTCAGGTGACACACACAGTGTCCTGAATCACGCTGCCAGGACATCCAAATGACAGTGGCACTTAGGCCTTGTCCAAGTGAGACACTTTGTTGGCTCAGAAAAGACTTTTCAATGAAAATGAAAATGTGAATTTGAGGGGCAGTTCTACCAGGATAACCATGTAAACGAGACGTCTCCTCTGCTATTTAAGGGGGTATGGAAAGGGCTTTATCAGTCCTGCTTTCAATAACCCCCCTCGCCTTTCCTCACGTGATATAACTTAGTCCGGAGGAAGGAGGGAAAACCATTTGTTTGAGGGAAGCAGGTTATATCATGTTAACTTAAAAATTTGTGTTTTCTCTTTTATGGAGAAATGTTCCTACACAAGCACAGCCTAATATGTGAAAGCTTTCCCATAGAAACAAGGTCAGAGGCAGTCAGTGCAAGGATCAGAACATACCTGACCTGTAACAGCTTTGCATCCCTAACACACTCCTGTCAACATAAATTATGTAGGGATTGTGTGAACTAAAGTCGACAGCCCAAAGACAATCTTCCTCTACCATACTAGATTACATCTTGAAGCAAAATGTGTCTCTCCTCTGCGCGGCACTGAACTGGTCTCCCTCTAAGAGGTGTCACACTCAAACACCAGGTAAATCATAGCACAAGTTTTCAATCAGCTTTTTAGCTCAACGCAGTTAAGTGTCTTAAAGGCTGGATGGCTCAACTTAAATACTTGTTTTCAAAGCACAGAAATGCACTCTTTACTATGGATTGGAGATCAAGTTAAAAAAAAGAAAAGAAAATAAAAGAAAAAAGAAAAGTTTTATATTTCCATGCTTTAGTTTTAATCTTTACAAAAAGAAATTACATTGCTAGTATTCACAGAAGCATAAAACCAAAACGCTGGAGGACCGGCAGCATGCTTACCTCATGAAATAGCAGATTTTTAATCTGAATTCATTGCAGTTCTCCCCATTGGCATCTCTATATGTAGGCTAGTTAAAGAAAGCTTTGTATGCCTTCATTTGGTAACGTTTTTATTCACAGAAGACTCTATGACACTAGACCAGCTGAATTAAAAACAATATCAAACTTTTCCTCTAGAGATAACCACAGCATGCTCTGATATTTCATTCACTTTCACAGAATCTTAGGGGACAAAGACCATTTCCTGGTTGCCATTTTGTTTTTTGCCCTAGCAAAAATACCTCTATTATACTATTCTGAATATTCCATTGAACTGTTTCTTGCCAGCTCTGGCTAACCAAATATGATAATACTTATGATTACTGAATTCTTTAAGAGGTATAAATGACATGTAGGTGCTTAGCTACCCCTGACAGTTCATAGCAGTCAAAGGCCAGCCCGCCATGATACATTTGAAAAGTTATCTTGGCCAAAAGTTATCTTGGTTATCTTTCCACTTATTCAAAGTTAATGCAAAGTATGCCTCAGTATGCTTGTACATATGGAAAAAGTTCACAAGCAGTAGCATAAAGAAGCCCGCAGACTTTCATCTTTTAGATTGAAACAAATTCACCTCTAAACCTTGTCTCTCACTAATTAATTGACACATTTTTACACACAGTCACAGAGACAATCTACTTTTGACGTTGTAATGTCGATTTGCAAGACTTTGTGAAAGGATATGTGGACAGAAGCTTGCCAGCCAGCTCTGTGGAAGGCAGATACCACCGGTGCATTAATAGAAAGGTTCTTGGCAAATGGCTGGAGCACTGATTGCCTTTGTCATCTGCAAAAGAGAAACAATGAGTTCACCACATCATTCATGAACAGAGAGGAGCTTTTAATCTTCAAGCGGAGTCAGACAGAAATGATCAATAGTGGAAATGTTGGTTCATTGTCTACCAAATAGGTAGGAAACAAAACCAAAGCACAAAAACGCTCCTTTGACGATAACTATTGCTAGTATTTAGCTAATGCTAGTGGTAGGTATTTAAAGGGAAAACCCCCAAACCAGTGTACATAATCGACCATAGCTGAAAAAAAATGGGACCTGAACAGCACTATGCTAAATGTTATACAAAGAGACTGCCAGTAATCCAAAGAACAAATCCAAAATTAGTCCACCAAATGGGCGGGGAGATGATTTATGTACAAGCACTGCCAATATTTCTTTAGCTTTAGGTTAACAATTAAATTGTTAAAAAAGGGATCTGCCTCAAGGAATTCAATGTCAAAGCAGCACCTCACATCTTGCCCAGGATCCCACACTTTTAGTTGCCTTACAGACCCTTGTGTCTTTGCAATGTAGCCACTGAAACCAAAGAAAGAATTATTCCCTGGCAGGCTGGCTGACCATCAGTCTTTCTCAGCCCCTGCAATCTTAGATTATTCTCTGTCTGTCACTCTTTTAAAAGACCGTAGATGATATGGGTGTATGAAATGGGAACCACACATAGACTACACTTGTCAAGACAGTCTGTATACATGGAAGAGAGGGATGATTTCCAACAGACAACAGGTATATGGGCTCGGCTAATACTTTTGTTAAGTTTTAGAACAGGTTTGATGGTGGTCTACAGAAACTGATATAGTGGGATTCACTACAGTCAGCAGCAAGATCTGTTCGTCCCTCAACTATTTAATCTCTTACCTTTACATACTTGTTTCTCTCCACAAGGGGAAAAAAAAAAATTAACACCTCATTCCAACCAAAAGCTGTCCTGCATTTCAAGAGCATCTAAATGTAGCTTTATGAATTAAGGCCCCATTTCAAAGCATTTAAGCCCATCCATGAACTCATCTGACTGCAATGTGACATATGTCATGATTAATGGTGTTATGGATCAAGGTCTATTTCATCACTTCTTTTCCCTCAGACCTAGTACCTCGCATTTTAATAAGAGTAAAAAGATTACATGAGCCTTAAGTCATATTCTTGCCAATTATTACATGATGATTTCCAAAAAATGACTGGTCAGAAATGCAGCTGTGTAACCACTCAAGACAAAGATCGATGCCAGAAATAACTCTTTGAATAATTCAACTAAACATTTCTCTTGGTGAAGGCCAGCATTTTAAAAACCACTATACCCACCATTGTGCATTATCTGTATTGAGAAAATTTAATACGGCATGCATGCAATTAAAATTCTGGCCCATGTGATTCCGAGTCGAAATGAAACATGGAAAATTTTACAGAACAGAAATGTTGTTTGCCAAGGGAAAGACTGGCTGAATCAGAGAACAGCAGGGCCTATATTATAAGATTAATTTCAAGAACAGCAAGGTAAAACATTGAAAAAGCGTACCAAACATTTCAATACAAGCGTTCAAAAGCTCATCTAATGTTGCAGCCTTCCCAAGTGTTTTTGACCCCATTGTCCTTTAATTGTTGTCAAAAAATAAGAGACATTTTCACCAAGTAGAAGGATGCTTCTTCAGCTGCACAGTTTTTTCATTATTGTTGGTTGCATTCTTAGCTGGACTTCAAGGAAAATCTGAAGAAAGTGAAAGAAATCATAATTATATGACTATATTGAAGACTTATCAGGATGCAATGTCTACAGTTCCACTCATTTTTCCTAAAAACTGTTTTTTCCCCACACAAAACAAAACATGTGAAAGA